GGTAAAATATTTCAAAATTTTTTTTTCTGGTAAGCAGGGTGGTAAATAATTAGTTAACTGGCACCATGGAGGTGCCACCCAAATTACGAGTCATGTAATCTCTCTCTCTCTCTTTAAAAAGGTTAACTGGAAATATGACACATGGGATTTATGACTAAGAGCAAACTGGTTTTTTCTTTTCTTTAAAAAAATATGAATTCTCATCTACAAATGTTGCTAAGGAGTTATTCGATGTTAGCAGGTCTCCGATGCTGCTTCTTTGTTCTCTTGTTGCTATGGCGGATCAAGAAATTGCCAACTTTAGATGAATGGAAGTGCCTTCTTTTTTGCCGCTACAGGCTACTTCTGAAATTAACCAATTTTTATTTGCCTTGAATTGGTGTTTCATATTTTTAGTGTCTTTTTATGATAAAGTTGTACTTTTCCTGTCAAACAGAGAGTGCTAAGTTACCAATCTTTGGTTCTTCCTGCAAATATCCAATGTTGTGATTATATTCTGCATTTGGTCCTCAATGTTTGACTTGGAGTGTTTTTGGTGTCTCAGATGATAATGGAACGGAAATTTCAACCTGTCATAATCTTCAGCTTTAGTAGAAGAGAGTGCGAACAGCATGCAATGTCTATGTCCAAGCTTGATTTTAATACACAGGATGAGAAAGAGGTTGTAGAACAGGTTTTTACAAATGCTATACAATGCTTGAATGAGGAAGACAGAACCTTACCTGCTATTGAGTTAATGTTGCCACTACTTAAGCGAGGAATTGCTGTTCATCATTCTGGCCTTCTTCCAGTTATTAAGGAATTGGTAGAACTTCTTTTCCAGGAAGGCCTTGTGAAGGCCCTCTTTGCCACAGAGACAGTAAGATCACCTCCACACATCAGTTTTTTTTTTCCTTCTCTTTTCATCAGAATAGTGATTGTTGTTTACATGACTTCTCTTCTCTATAATTAATGTCAAATAATTTTGTGACAACTTTTTTGACAGTTTGCAATGGGGTTAAACATGCCTGCAAAAACAGTCGTGTTTACTGCTGTTAGGAAGTGGGATGGTGATAGTCATCGGTATATTGGGTCCGGTGAGTATATTCAGGTGAGTGAAGAATTTGTTGCTTTTATCACGAGGAAAGATAGACCAGTATGTCATGATCATAATCTAGAGCTGTCATCTAATGCGTGCAGATGAGTGGAAGGGCTGGGCGTCGTGGCAAAGATGAGCGTGGTATTTGCATAATAATGATCGATGAGCAGGTAATGTGTCATTTATTGATATTCAGTGAACAGTTGCTATTAACACTTTTCTGCCATTATATACTGTTCGTGTTTTAAGAAAGCTAATGTCTAGTTTTGAGGCATGCAGTATGTCACAGTGTTTAGCTGCTGTCTTCTAAACAAGACTTAAAAATTTCTTTTTTTCCGTTTCATCATATCAATGTTTTGGTGGTGATCTTTACCAGATGGAGATGAATACACTGAAAGACATGGTTTTGGGTAAACCAGCTCCTTTAGTGAGTACATTCAGACTGAGTTACTATTCTATTTTGAATTTGATGAGCCGTGCTGAAGGCCAATTTACAGCTGAACATGTGATAAAGAATTCATTCCACCAATTTCAGTATGAAAAGGTTTTGACTACCTTTTCTTCTCAAATTTGTTTAATTTCTTGTTATATGGCGCTTTATTTCTGACCAACCTTTCTTCTTTTCAGGCTTTACCTGATATGGGGAACAAAATCTCAAAGCTGGAGAATGAAGCTGCTTCCCTTGATGCTTCTGGAGAGGTCATTCTTGTTTCTCGCTGTTTAACTGTATTTTTAGAATTGTTCATGCAAATAAACTTTTTTATCTTCTGAGCAGGCTGAGGTTGCTGAATACGATAAGTTAAAACTTGACATAGCTCAACATGAAAAGAAGATGATGTCAGAAATTACAAGGCCTGAAAGAGTTCTTTGTTTGCTTGATACTGGCCGGCTGGTATGTGGCGGAGATAAGGAGTAAATGCTTTTTATGATAATCTAGTAAGATAGGGGAAGGGTGAAACTTAAATCTACATCAGCCTTTGTTTGAATCCATCCAGAAAATATTACTTTCAATATGATCCTCTAAAAGTGAAACCATAATTATCTTCGGAGTCACTTCTCTATTTCTATTTAGGAGATTCTATTTAGGAGATCTGTTGCTGTTAAGGTCTGAACTAAAGCATTGAGTTGATTTTTTAGTTGTTCATTTTCATAGACAAGAAGTTATGGTAATTCTCTCTTTGTTTTCTGGAATTTCGTTTTCGTTTTTCTTTTATTTTATAATTTTTTGAACTGATTTGGCACCTTGGTGTGCTCTAGAATTTTGGATACTGCTTTTTTTTTAAAAAAAATTTTTAATTTCAGTCTGTGTTTGGATCTAAAATTTAAAGTTTCTTCTTAAGCCTTGGGATGCTGGTCCTGTATTTTAGTTCTCTAATAGTGCAGATAATGTGTTTATTGTTTTACCTATTATTTTACAAACATGGGTTTATCTGCAGATCAAGATAAGGGAAGGTGGAACTGATTGGGGCTGGGGAGTTGTAGTAAGTGTTGTTAAAAAGCCTTCATCAGGTGCAGTCATAACAGCCTCACGTGGTGGGGTGTATATAGTTGATACTTTGCTTAATTGTTCACCTGGTTCAAGTGAGAATGGTTCCCGGCCAAAGCCATGTCCACCCCGTCCTGGAGAAAAGGGTGAAATGCATGTGGTGGGTTGATCCTCATGTCAAGTAACAACATCAGTTGATAACTTAAATTAGTTCCATTAAGATTATGATAGGCATTGCCATATTTTCTAGGTCCCTGTTCAGCTGCCTCTGATTTCTGCCATAAGCAAACTCAGACTGTCAGTTCCTTCAGATCTTCGGCCCTTGGAAGCAAGGGAAAGCATACTACTTGCACTAAAGGAGCTTGCAACTCGGTTTCCGCTAGGATTTCCAAAGCTTCATCCTGTGAAGGCAAGCTTCTTTTAATCAAGAAACTAGGGATATATCTTTTCTTCTCAGGAACGTGCAGCCAGATTTAAAACACTTATGTTTGTTTAGTTTTATTGGAGATTCCTGTTGGTGGTAGAATATGAAGTTATGAGCCTGCTGGCAGTGACTAGGAAGATCTTGTCTATACTCATAGCAAGAAACTTGATTTCATCTTTACAACAAAACATCAATCACAGAAAACGGGCCTGAACCTGCCCAACAACAATAATTTTATTCGCTGATACTTGCTTTGCATTTGTAGCTTCTAGGATAATATTTAGTCTTGCTGTTAGTAAGAAAATATACAGGAATATATTGTTCCAAGTTTAGCTCAAGATGTTGAAAAGGTTGTGGCATAAGATCACAAACACTAAATGGACCTTTTTTTTTGAGAGAAAATATTAGGACCTTGTTAATGGAGATTGCCACTTCAATTTCTTACAAATTCTTAAACTAATTTGCAGGACATGAATATAAAAGATCCAGAGATCGTCCAGTTGGTTAGTCAAATTGAGGAACTTGAGAAGAAGTTATATGCTCATCCATTGCATAAGGTTCTCATAGTTTTGACAGTTTCATTGATTTCTCTTCCAATCACAATCTTTAACACACTGAGCATTGTGCTCCTTTGAGAAGTGAATTGTTAAGCTATTAGTTGTCTCAAAGATTTATCTGACTAGCACCTGTCACTTTTCTCTATTTGACATGCTGCAGTCTCAAGATGAGAATCAGATATTAAGTTTCCGAAGGAAAGCAGAGGTTAACCATGAAATTCAACAGCTTAAGACTAAAATGCGTGATTCCCAGGTATTTTCCTTGGATAATCATCCTATCAGTCATGACTATACTAGAAGGTGGATCTGTGTGTACTGGATGCTTCGCAAGAATATGTTTACTAGATGACTGATAAAAATTCTGCATCTATTTCATGTAATATCAGATTTATTAATAGTGAATATTTTTTACATAAAAACTTATTATCTCTCTGATAATTTCTGATAATGTTTGCACATGTTTGATAAATCTCCCCTTTATTGAAAAATAGATATATATCAATTCTTATTTGAAGATGCATGTGGGTTTTGTTCCATAGAAAGGCTTTAATATTTCTACTTTCTTCTCTTCATGGTCTTTGCAGCTTCACAAGTTCCGAGATGAACTCAGGAATCGTTCGCGTGTCCTGAAGAAGCTTGGCCATGTTGATGCTGATGGTGTTGTCCAGTTAAAGGGACGGGCAGCCTGCTTGATTGACACAGGAGATGAACTACTTGTTACTGAGCTGATGTTCAATGGTAAATCATCTTTCCAGTATTTCTTTTAAGAAGAAAAATAATATATAATTGAGAGGCACCTAACCCAAGATGTGCCACCAAGGAAAACTGTACAGAATCCATTGAAGTACTTATTGCATAGTTATAAGAAACTCATTCATGCAGTAATGACGTGGCTGACCTTCCTGAAGTTGTGGTTTATGAAAAGCAGAGTGCTGATATCCTTGCAACTCTAAGATTAGAACATACCTTTTCCTGCATGCTACCAGTGTAAGTTAGGTGCCACGTTTAGGACTTTTGGTTAAACTTGTACCCTTCAAAGGGCAAAGGGAGAAAAATAAAAGAAATAAGAATAGCTGAACCAATTTTGCTATGCTCAGTTATTGGTTTCAAATCGTAATTGGTTATACTTTCGGTGTATAGATATAAGTATCGTATACATTTGAAGCTCACAAAGCCAATTTAGGTTGCCTGACAACCTGATTCATGCATGAACTGTACTGGACCTTGGAGTTGGTATGACATTCCTATTGCAGCAGGCAACATGATATTGATTCTGGCTAGATGTAACTTGTTTGTATGAATTTTTAACCAGGGACTTTCAATGATCTTGATCACCACCAAGTTGCAGCCCTTGCAAGTTGTTTCATTCCTGTTGACAAATCAAGTGAGCAAATAAATTTGAGAACAGAGCTTGCTAAACCATTGCAGCAGCTTCAGGATAGTGCGAGAAAGATAGCGGAGGTGCTTCTTTTTAATTTAATTTTTTGTTGTACTTGTATTCTGGTTAGTAATGCTTCTGTATGGTTGCAGATACAACACGAATGCAAATTGGAAATAAATGTTGAAGAGTATGTGGAATCAACTGTGAGGCCATTCTTGATGGATGTCATTTACTGTTGGTCAAAGGTTAGGATTTTCCATTGGAAAATAATTGGTTGCATGTAGTTTAAGGATTGCAATTGCTCTTTGTTTATTTAGGTGAGACCCTCAGCTAATCTCAGGTAAAAATAAGGCTGGAGGCGAGTTTATGAACAACACGACAACTCTGTTACGCTGCACTTTGGTTTTCTTAGTTTTAGTATCAAGACTTCCTTCCTTAGTTGGATCTGGTTCAATTTTTGCATAAGTTTTCATTGTTTTTATATAATATTTTAATCTTGACCCAATTTTTTTAACACCATTTTCATCAGGGTGCAAGTTTTGCAGAAGTTATTCAGATGACTGACATATTTGAGGGCAGTATCATCAGAAGTGCAAGAAGGCTTGATGAGTTTTTGAACCAGGTAAATAAGCAAGGCTATCTTCACTTTTTTTTCTTGGCAATTGCACCAAAGTTTTAGTTTATTTGAGAATCAAAGCAAATTATTTTCCTTGCCATTTCCTTTATTTTTACTGCGTCGTTATTTTTCAGTTGCGAGCTGCTGCTGCTGCCGTGGGAGAAGTCAATTTGGAGAGCAAGTTTGCTGGAGCCAGTGAAAGCCTCCGCAGAGGAATCATGTTTGCAAATTCTCTTTATCTCTAAAATTCTTTCGGCAGGTGTTGCTTGTGAAATTGAAACCCTCATGATATTGTTCTTTAGCAAATATATTTATCTGTAGCCAGTTGTAAAATGTGCTATAGGTAGGTAGGTTTCTCCTTCTCCCGGCTCCTCCCCCTCATTACTATAGCATCAATCTCTTTTCAAAAGCTTTGTTGTATATGTATGATTCATAGCTTTTGATTCATTCTTCTTCTTGTATACCTCAGAACACAAGGGAAAAGTTGCCCTGGAATTATATCAAAAGCCTTTTTTTTTTTTAAAATATGGAATCTCTCTCTCTCTCTCTCTCTCTCTCCCTTCCCGTTCCCCCCCCCCCCAAGTTTTGTCTATGTTTTTCATTCATGAAATAGATGCTGTGGGTTTGCAATGAGTTGCATACTCCAAAGCATTGTTCTGAGTTCGAGTTGTGAGCATTTATGTAGCAAGTCTGAGTTTGACTTCAGTGCTTGCACCGCAAGTGAACTGAGTTTGGAGACATGAACAAATATCCTGCTTCTTGTTCAAGTTGGATTTGTAGTTGCTGTTAATGGGTTTAGATGATACGCTCCTGTAAGGAGAATACATTTTGTTAATGACTGGCTTAAACCCTGAATTACTCATTTATTTAAGATTGTTGATATGTACTTGAGACTGTTTAACTCCAGCTAGAACCCTGGAATTAGAATAGATGGATTTCTACTATTTTACGTATCTGATGTTTAAGTCAGATGATTTGAGTCGGTGTTTCATTTACTTCAGCACGGTCAAACATTCTATATTTAGAGTCCTTTATTTCAAAGCTATTGTTGAGCTATACTTGTTCATTAGCATTTATACTTTACAATTCCAAGGAGAAAGACAATTTGCAGGTGCTTATGTTTGTGTTATTCAATCCCGTTCTCAAATTGAACATGAAATTAATGTCGAAAAAGTACTCAAGGTTGGAGGATCCAAATTATTGTGGCAACAGAACAGGTTCGAAGACAACAGTAGAATGTTTGGCGATGTGGAGGCTGAACTGTCCTCCCTTCTCACTCACATCAATCTTCTTTACTCCTGGAGGAGTCTTCATCTCAAAGTTGCTAACTAGTTTTGCAATCACAAGGCCCAGTATTGGCAGCGCCAGTATGATTCCTGGACAGCTCCTCCTCCCCATCCCGAATGGCAAGAATCTGAAATCAACCTTCCCTCCGGCCACAGCTTCTGTCCTGGTTTCTTCCTCCAGAAATCTTTCTGGTCTGAAATTCTCTGGATCTTTCCACCATTTAGGATTATTAGCCAGCCACCATGCGTTCACCACCACCTTAGACTCTCTTGGAATTGTGAACCAACCAAGCTTAGCTTCTTCTAAATTCATGTGCGGCACCAGAAGTGGGATTGGCGTGTGGAGCCTGAGGGTCTCCTTTACCACTGCCTGCAAATATGGAAGCTCTTGTAGATTGGATTCTGTCGCTGGATTTTTCTTCAAGACTGCTCGAATTTCGTCTCGGATTTTTTTCTGAACTTCTGGATGGTTCACCAGCTCGGCTATTGCCCATTCTATCGACCATAATGTCGTTTCAATCGCTGCCACATTGATGTTTTCTACTATGTAGAGCACGTTTTCTTCAGTGATCTCTCCTTTCAGTTGGGCCTCTATTATGTGATCAATAGCACATGTTATCTTGTGGTTCTCTTTATTGGCAGCCATTATTTTCCTGATCATTAAACAATTAGCAAAAATAAAACTTATGAAATGTTTCCAAATTATACGGAGTAAAGTTTATATCTTTTACAACAATAGATCAGTTATAGTTATAGTTGACTATTCATATATATAATTTAGTCCGTGCATATACATATATATATAGCCATTAGCTTTACCTTCTTTTTTCAACATAGTTGTTGTTAAAGAACGCCAGCCTCCTCTTCTGCAAATCTCTGCACCTATTCAAGTATCCCCTCAAGAAAGGTCTCAGCAGAGGAATAAAATCACCATAGTTATACTCAAAGCTCTGAGCCAATCTGCTCCTCTCTGAATTGAACCCAGTTGCCTGAACAAACAAATGATCTTCTTCTGACTCGAACTTGGCATCAAACATCATCCTATACATAATATTATACAGCATAAGTTGCAGACGTCTCCGAACAACCACCCCTCTTCTCTTCTTCCCTTTCTCATCATCGTCCCTCTGCAAATCACGAACAACCAGCTCCATCTCCTCCTCCCACATGTCACTGTAATGGCGCACGACCTTGTTGGTAAAGAACGGGAGAGTCATGATCCTGCGCATCTTCCGCCAGTGCTCGCCATAAACGGTGAACACCATATCCTGCCCGTTTCCGGTGAAGATATCGAACACGACGTTGCGCGGGCGAGAGCCGAACTCCACGCCCTGTGTATGCAAAACCTGGGCTGCGAGCTCTGGGTCGGAGACGACGGCGAGATTTTTGGACCCGAGTTTGAGGAGGAACACGGGGCCGTAAGTTTCAGCCATGGAAGCAAGGAGTCTGTGGTTAAGGTCATTTCCAACTTGGAGCCAGTTTCCGAAGACTGGAACAGAGAGTGGACCAGGAGGGAGCTTGGTTGAAGATGATGAGTTGAAAATGGAGTATAGGAAGAAGATAAGCAGAGGTAAAGAGAGGGTGATTGAGGAGATTTGAGATGGGAAAAGAAGCAATGAGGAAATTGAAAAGGTGATGAGAGCAACGAAAGAGATTGGCTTGGAAAGAAGGTGACGAGTTACGGCCATGGCTGAGGAAATAAGTTAGAGAGAGATTGATCAGAAACTGGATGGGTGGAGGGAAAATGTTGAATGTGTTTATATATAAAATGGGGGGAAGAGGGTTGGTGGTGTGTATAGTCTAATGGGACTAATGGTTTTGAGTGAATCCATGGGCTTGAAATAGAATCAGGGTGTGTAGGAGGAGGAAGTGTGAAATTTTGGAAGTTGGTAGGTAGGCTGGACGAGCGATGGGTCTTATACACCAATATAATATAATATAATATAATATATATATATATAAGTAAAAAAATTATAATATAAACTTTATGTTCATCTTGGCGCTGGTATACTTTTATGTAAATTCAATTTATTTTTCTTTAGTTACCCAATGTTTTTTTGTTCTTAGTAAATATTATAATCTTTATCCCACAAAATAAATACCAACTAGTTGGTCAAAAATTAGAGATCAAAAAGTTGATATTTTTCAAATAAATTTATTCACACTCTAAATAAACAAATCTAATCATTATTCATTTTTTGATTATATAATCATTATGATATTATGTTATAATTGATAAGTATATATATCTAATTAATAAAATATAAGAACTTTTATTAAAATAACTAATATATTTAATATTGAGAGGATTATATCTCTATTTATATTTGATGTTGGACATAATTATTTAATTATTGTAGTAAATAGAACTTAATTATTGTAAAAGAGGGTTCTTTAGGGCATTATATATGTACTTTTTTAGGAACATTATACATATATATATATATATATATTTGAATGCTCATTCAGATGAGGAAGGCAAGAATAGTAGATAGGGTGAAGGGCTTATATTGATCATTAGTGAAATCTGTGCAACGCCAACCACTGAAATCAAAATTGCAAGAGAGGGAGTACATAGAGTCTCACACACACACACACACACATATATATATGTAATATATGTCATAGACCACATACATACATACATACACATATATATATGGGTAAATTGTTTTCAAGGGAATATAGGTAAGTTATAGTTAAACCAACATCCTCCTACTCTTGTTTAATTAATTAATTAATTAATTAATCTATTATCCAATATGAAAATATTAACAATTACTAAAAAAAAAAACATATAACTCTTCTCCGGTTTGATCATCTTCATTTCTATTTGATTTTTATTTTGGATTACAAAATTATTTATGATGAAATGAAACCACTTTTATTGAATAAATACACATTATTATTATTATTATTATTAACATCAGACAAAAACCACACACTATCTTAAATAGTTATTCTATTTTTTGGTTTATTTCTGTAAATGAATATATAGAGACAATGTAATGTTATAATTAGTGTATGTATATGAATTAATTAATAAATATAAAGTTTTTATTTATTTAAAGAACATTGTTTTAAAAAATATAATTTAGCCGTATCACCCAAAAATATAAATAATAGAACGTAGAACCATTGGATCAAGTATGAATTTGGGCTCGTCTCTGACGTCATGTGTTGACGTGGCGAAATTCCATTGGATGTGTGTATGAAATGTAGAGCTAGAACTGTAGAGAAAAGTCCAAGCATAGAGAGAGAGGGACTAGGACTAGAACTAGCCAGCTCTGGTTTGAGGCCCCAGCCATTTTAGGCGGAGCATTCAACAGGTCACTCCCCTCGTTTTCATCGACACTTTCTTCCTTCATATCTTCCGGCCTTCTTCTGTTCCGACTCACTCTCACCCTCCGCCTCTGCGTCGTCCTATCTCTCTCTGCGAATTTCGATTCGCATTTCAAACGGTAAGCTCTAAGTCTTTCTATGTCTGATTAGATCTAATTCTGTTTGCTTCTTTCAGGCTTCTGAATTTGATTAATAATGGTGTTTGCTCAAATGGGTTTAATGTCATCAGGGAATTCCTGCATTGGCAAAAATGGACTCCTCAATGACCGTGTGCAAATCCCTCACTGCTCCTCCTGTAAGCCTCACTCAACTCTGCTCCTTGTTTTAATTTCTTTTCACTGTTGCATTGTGTTTGGGCTTGTGGATTCTCACTTGGAATGGGCGCCGAAGAGATTTTTGAGTTGTTTTGCGAGCTTTTTTGGCTGAAAATTCTGGACTTGGAGATTGCGTGTCATTCTTTTTTTAAGTGCTTTGACGCCGTGCAAGATTGAATTTTTGTTACGCTATGACCTGCAACCTTTGTATGTTCTAGTGAATCCTCGGAGATTGTGGAATTTTGATGCCGTTTTGCTCTTCTTTATCACTACTATATTAGATGAACTGTTGATTTGTAGAGAGTTGGATCATTAACTGTGTAAATCATTACAAAAGTTCTGTTCGCTTTGCAGTGTCCCACCTCCTGTTTGGCTTTTTCCCCCCCTAAGTTTTTTGAAAGTAAAATTGATTTGGCTTTTCGATTTGTTTAAGTTGCGTTCTTTCAAATAAATTTTTGATGTACTTTTCCTTTCCCAACCCCCAACAAGGGCCTATTTATGGGGAGGACATCGGGTATTAGGAGTTCCCAATGCACCTTTATGTTGGGAAGCAAGGTCAACTTTCCTAGACAAAGAGCTCAGGCAGCTCAAGTAAGCCGTCGAGCTAAGAAAAGAGGAGGAGCTTTAGGTGCTACATGCCGAGCTGATAAAATTCTGGTAGCAAATAGAGGAGAAATTGCTGTTCGTGTTATTCGGACTGCCCACGAGATGGGGATACCTTGTGTTGCTGTTTACTCAACCATAGATAAGGATGCACTTCATGTGAAGTTGGCTGATGAATCAGTTTGTATTGGTGAAGCGCCAAGTAATCAATCGTAAGTTCTTGTAATTTTCTCTATCTGATTTCATTTTTCTCCTATCATATATATCTAATTCTTGCCCTTGATATTTTCTCCTTCAACTTTTTGACATTATCCCTTCCCCTAAATTTGTTTCCAAAATGCGTATCACAGGCACATTTCTATTTTTTGCTATATCCTATATTTCTTCTTCTTGCTGGGCCGTGGAAATGAGTAATTCTCAACGCATACTCATGAAGAAAATGAAAATGAGTGCATAAAGTCATCTCAAGTTAAAAGTTTTTGATTGAATGCTAGGATTCTCAAGTTTTGTGTTTCTTTACTTTATCTAGTACCATAATGGTAAGTGATGAATTTCAATTCTCAACAGGTATTTGGTGATACCAAATGTTCTTTCGGCTGCAATTAGCCGAGGATGCACTATGCTTCATCCTGGATATGGTTTCCTTTCGGAGAATGCTGTATTTGTTGAAATGTGCCGAGAACATGGAATCAACTTTATTGGGCCTAATGTAAGGTTCTTTTGTTTTTTTAAGTTAAGAGGCCTAACTATATAAAAGGCGAGTTTAACAAAAAAAAAGTTACAGAGGCAAGATTACTTATTTGGTTGTTTTCAAATATGAAGTCCTCTTTCAGTTTGACATTTTCTTGTTTGTCTATTTTGTATTTGACATTTCCCCGGAAGTTCATCAATGGTGCCTCTATCTATTAAGCTGCTGTTTTACACTTTTTTTTTTTGCTACCCATAAAGTGAAGTTAGTCCTAGTCCTTTCTGCACCTGGAGGATTCAGTGACCTTCTAGTGATTGTATCTGCAGTGATCTATTTTTTCTAAATCTAATTTGCACAACTGTCTTCTTGTTTACACTTGCCTTGCTTTTTGTCCTTGTAAAATTTATTTCAGGGATGTTCATATCTCGTCCAAGTATGTTATCATTATTTTCACTTGGGATTCAGTCTATAAGTGATATTTTTGGCTTTTGAATATTTTTTTGGGATATTTCTTGTATGCATTGTTGTAGTAATCTCGTCCAAATAAATAATAATCTCGTTTTCATTTTGCCAGCCTGATAGCATCCGTGTCATGGGTGACAAGTCTACTGCTAGAGACACAATGAAGAATGCAGGTGTTCCAACTGTACCAGGAAGCGATGGATTGTTACAGGTACTGCATTTAATCTGTCGTTCTAGCTTCTTACATACTGCCGTTATACTGGCAGCACACTGTTGATGCGCATTCAGTGAAATGTGTTTCTTTGTTATCAAAAAACATTTAGGCATCTAAATATTTGTGGAGATAATTTCACGTTATTTACTTATGGACATTTTTTTAAATCACAGAGCACAGATGAAGCAGTCAGGCTTGCCCAGGAGATTGGCTATCCTGTCATGATCAAGGTGAGCTATTCCCATTTTTTGATACCCTTCTAATTTGAAATGGCTTTTGAAGTAGTGATTTACAACTTCGCAAACCCGAATGCAGTATGGTATTTCTTCAAAGTGTTTGAAAGTTTCAAATCAACTATATGGTTAAGCCTTCTTTTCAACTTGGGATAAAGTTTTATGAAGAACTTTTCTGTAAATTTAGTGCACCTTTAGAAAGAGTTCTATGCATCTATTCCTACTTTACGTTCATCTGCCTCTATTTTTAACTCATTTGATGTGTCACACGTATATCAACTGTTCGTGATCAAACTTACAGTAACTTTTTAGTACTAAGATTTGGGTTTTTTTTCCCCAGCAGCTCAAGCTTTTGTTCTTTGGTAGTCTTATATATTTTAGCTTCTCTACTATTTTGCTTTCTTGGATTTCCTTAATCTAACTTTTTTACCAGAATGCAAATTTATGGGGAGACTTTTGGCTTTATTTAAAAAAAGGGGAGAATTTTGGCATTTAGCTTTTGTTCTTTGGTAATCTTATATGTTTCAGCTTCCCTGTCTATTTTGCTTTCCTGGATTTTCTTAATTTAACTTTATCAATATGCAAACCTATAGGGAAAATTGTGGCATTTCCTCGAAAATTTTTTCTTTGCCGTTACACCTGCCTGTTTTGTTTTGCTCCTGCTGTTTTGTTCTCGACAAGCATGTGTAGTTTTTCTGTGATTAAACATAGTGCAAATTCAAAAAGTAATTTGCGTCTGCTATCAGTTCTGCTCAATTATGAGAATTGTTTTTTGTAGTCAGCCTTCTAATTTGAGGAGAAAGTGGAAGATGGTGATTTTTCTTTTGTAGAGTTTCTGATTTTTTTTTCCTGCTAGCACTTAATTTAAGTGCCGAAAACATGCTTTTTCCTATAAAAAAGTGGGGAAAACTGAAGAATGGATGAAAAGTATAAAAATTCCAATTTTATGACAGAGTTTTGTTGGTGTGGTTACAATCTTAGGATAGTTTCCCATTCTAAACTCATACCTGCAACCAAGTGAAGCATACAAGTAAAAAGAAATATTATATTCGAAAACAACATCAGGATTTCTCTCACCTGACAAAAATTCTATGATTTCAAGGCAACAGCAGGTGGTGGAGGACGTGGAATGCGTCTAGCTAAAGAACCGGATGAGTTTGTGAAGTTACTACAGGTATAACCTGCAAGGGCAAGTGGATCCTATAATAGTATTCAAAAATTGCTTTTTTTTTTTTAAGTAGATATGGATACACATGCTAATTAGTTGGTAATTACTGACAACTTGTGAAGCTTGCTAAACTCTTCATGATAAACTCAAACTGTCATGTTACCTGGCTTTTTTGATCCTCTGAGAAACTAATGACATTGAGTATATGTTTTCATGTTACAGTTCTTCTCTGGACAGAGCTGATTGCTTATGCCATCACTTTACAAGAATATGATTATTTCAATTTATTTCTGTAAATTTTGTATCAGAGGATCACAAATTAGACGACATATTACTCTGATCTGAACAGAACTTCTATGTGCTGTTCAAAGTATGTTTCTTATCATTGAATTTGGTTTGGTTCCATTGTTTGCAGCAAGCTAAGAGCGAGGCTGCTGCAGCATTTGGAAATGATGGAGTCTATTTGGAAAAATACATCCAAAATCCTAGACATATTGAGTTCCAGGTAATTTTGGTGTTTGTTTTGGTTTAAAATATTTCTTCTTTTGTGCTTTTTATTTTCATTGATGGTTTCTTGAGAACATGTAACTAAACCCTATAAAAAGTAAGAAGACAGACTTGTCTACATGTGACATTTTAGATGCCTCAGTGATACAGAATCTTGAATTAGCCAGAATTCTTTACTTTTGAACTTTTATAGTTATAAGTTGCCTAATTTAGACCCAGTTTGTATCTCCAAATGTGGTAAAGAATGAAAAGGAAAATCAGTATCTTTTATAAAAGATACTTTTGAAGTATCTCTTCAGTTTTTCTTTCTCATGCCTGTATGCTTTGAGATCCAAACTAAGTTAAGATTCTCAGCTAACTGGATATGCTCATAAATGCTTATTCAACAATTCATAGAAGCAAAAGTGTAACACATACTTTTTAATATGAGATGCAAACATAATACACTAAAAGACATAGGATAATAAGAATAGGAAGAAAAATCCTCTAAGTTCATCTCAAGAAAAAAATAGGAAAAAAATAATATTTGGGCAGCTGATCTTTTCTCCTCCCCTTCTGAAATCTTGGCTCCGCCACTGGAAGCATATGACTATATACCTCTGTGCTCACGTGGAGACATTTTGGAAGGCATTTTTTTTGGTGAAGCTGGGATTTGTGGGATCTCTTAGAGTCACCTGCTATTCGGATGAAAACTGAAAACAGAAAAGTTAAAAAATGTTTTCACTAGCTCTATACCTTACCCTATTTCGTTTTGTTCTTAATTGGACCATTTTAACCATTTTCCATTTGGTTAATTATATTCTTTTTCCTTTGTCATTCATACGCATTTCATCTAATTGATTGACCTTGCATGTACTTGGTTTCTCAGGTTCTTGCAGATAAATATGGCAATGTTGTTCATTTTGGAGAGCGTGACTGCAGCATCCAGGTATGCTTATCACTTTTGTCTTCTCCTTATATGTATACTCTTATAGCATGCCAAACTAATTTCGGGCTCAGGTTCTCCCTTTATATATCTGAGGTACACTTGTCAATCATGGTTCCTTTTCCATTCCGTTGGGAAAAAATAGAGGGAAAAATTAATTATTTCAAAAAACAAGGGAAAAATGAATAAATTACCTAAAAGTCACAAGGACTTTTATCACTATCTCAAACAAGGAATTTATCTTTTGAATTGCGTTTTAGGACATTTACTTTCTTAATGTCTCAAATTAGAACCGAAGATTAATTTTTTCTCATAAATATATTGAAATTAAGTGTTACATCCTTCACATATCTAAATTTATCATTACATCCTTCACGTATCTAAATTTATCATAAAAGTGGCAGGCAGGTCCTAAAATGAAACATTTGAAAAGTACTGGTCTTAAAAAGATAAAATTCTTATAGATTCTCTGAGGCAACATTTCAAAAAAAGATTCTAGTTGAGGCAAATTATGGAATAGGATAATGAAGTTTTATCTGTTTCTCTTCTTTGGCTGAGCCCTAAGGTTGCACTTGCATGAAAGCAGGACGAGGTCTGTGAGTTAGACTCAACCGAGGGAAAAGGTTCATCAGACTGAATTTATATTCAGTTTTGAAGGGTTCATAAATCCTTTTAATCTCCAATGTATACCTGCATTAGTGGTCATTGTTTCAAAGTTTATTGCATTTACATTGTGTTTGGTCCAAGTTTATTTTATTCTCATTCAATTCTTAGATTTTATTTATTTAATATGTAGAAGTTAGTCGCAATTTATACACCTAGTGCATAGTTGAATCAACTTTATTTATAACTTCAGCTTCACAACTATAGATTGTTCTTCCAACTGTTAAGGAAGAAATCACAAAATGCCTCATTTTAATTGAAAATAAAATTCAATTTTTTAAATTCTCATCGTATTTGTATTGTATCCTCATCTCTATTTCATGAAATTGAAATTTGAATGAAACTCAATGTTAACGTGCCAATACTATTTGAGACAAAAAGGTTGGTGCCATTAACTTTGTGATCAATGTGGTAAATATTTGTGTAAAACAGAAACATCTAACCTTGGAGTTTGATTCTTTTCTTTTCTAACTTCATTATCATTGTAAATTGCAAGTTACTGAAAGAACATGTTTGTTGAATATGACTTACAGAGGCGAAATCAAAAGCTGCTGGAAGAAGCACCCTCTCCTGCATTGACCTCAGAGTTGCGAAAGGCCATGGGTGATGCAGCAGTTGCAGCAGCAGCATCAATTGGTTACATTGGTGTTGGAACAGTGGAATTTCTTTTGGATGAAAGAGGTTCCTTCTACTTCATGGAAATGAACACACGAATCCAGGTTAGACTTAATTTCTCAGCAGAACTGTGTCTTTTATGAGGATAATAGGAGTTATGCTACATAACTTTTTCTTTCCTGTCTTTTTCTATTAACATCTCAGGTTGAGCACCCTGTGACGGAAATGATTTCCTCTGTTGACTTGATTGAGGAACAAATACGTGTTGCTAAGGGAGAAAAACTCCGGTACAAACAGGTATTGCCTGGACTTAAGATAAATATCCTGCTGATATAGTGCAATTTATTTCAGTTTCTGATTCAGTTTTGTTTTCTAGGAGGATATAGTGCTCAGAGGACATTCAATTGAATGCCGCATCAATGCAGAAGATGCTTTTAAAGGATTCCGACCAGGACCGGGTATGTTTGCACCTGTTGCATGTGGTTTACATGGATGTGCATGTTATGGCTTCTTTTTTCCCTGTTAACATTAAATATCCAAAAACAAAATGCAGCTCTCTCAAATTATTTTTTCCTTATATGGTTTACTTAGTGAATATTTTCAATCTTTCTTAAAATGCTTTTTCTGTTTGAATAACAGGCAGAATAACATCATACTTGCCATCTGGAGGTCCATTTGTTAGAATGGACAGCCATGTTTATTCTGACTATGTTGTTCCTCCAAGCTATGATTCCCTTCTTGGAAAGGTTTGTTACATAACCTACCGCACTTGCATATTCTTTTTATATTTGTTACGTTTATAGTTTGGAAAGGACACATGCATAATTCATAGACATGCATATACATACATGTACAGCTGGTGATTCATGCAATCATATGCTTTGTACATGTAATTGTACAGCACGCATGTTCCACCTGCTGATAATTGTGTGTTATACACATGAAAATATAGGGTTCCTCTTGATAATCTTGTGTGTTAATCATAATAAGCTATATAAAATACAATTCAGGATAAAAAGATGTGCATTCTTACGCAAACGCTTAGTACTTTGAAGCTAACATTCTTCCCAATGATCTTGGTCAACCCAGCTTGTGCAGTTTTACATTTAAGATTATAATTATAGATACCTTTGCCAATTTTTGTCTCTATTCTAGCTAATTGTGTGGGCACCAACAAGGGAAAAAGCAATTGAACGCATGAAGAGGGCTCTTGATGACACTATTATTACAGGTACATAAACAATGTGTATCCCTTGAAAAAGCCTTTCACTTTTCTTCAGAATTATTTTTGTAAGCTTCATTTGGTCCATCACAAAAATATTGTGGCATTAAAATTTGATGGGAAACTTTATTTCAAGAAAAGAATGATGGGAAGCTTTTTAGTTGGAAATTGTACATTTTGATGTGCTTGATAAAGTGAAACATTGGAATAGCAGTATGGCGTTGCATAGTGAGACAGAGAGGGCATGGTAAAGGTAGATATTATATTTCACAAAACAAATCTTTAGCCAGAATCTTTATTTTCTTGGGGTGGTGAAAGGAGAGAAAAATTTGTTGAGGTTCATGTGACTAAAGATTTTACATGCTGAGATATATATATATATATTTTATCATTTCCTTCTGTGTCACACAGGAATCTATTACTTGTCTCCTTCTGTTTTCTTTTGGTCTTATTTCTTTTTTTTCGGGGTGAATTCTTTTGGAATCTTGAGTATATCTTCACTTTGACCTTTTTAATTTTCTTGTCCAATTTACCTGTAGGGGTTCCTACAACCATTGATTACCATAAACTCATCCTTGACATTGAGGTAGGCAAAAGCTCATCCTTAAATGGAAAAACTTTTTTATTCCTTAAGTGGTTAGATCTGATCTAAATGCTAAGATACCATTATTTACAGGACTTCAAAAATGGGAAGGTTGATACTGCTTTCATTCCAAAGCATGAAGAGGAGCTAGCTGCGGTAAGGAGCTGATATAAACCTTTTGAAATGTGATTTTGTGTGTTCTCTTTAACTCAAAAAGCAGTTCTTGTACATGTAATAGAATTTCTAAGCCGTGATTCTTGAATGAAAACTTGTATCTTGTCTCCACATAACAACATTTTTATGTCCCTTTTATTCACCCATAATCCTCGAGTTACGAGAAACCAAACTACAATTTCTGAAAAATGAGTTCTTACATTGTAGTATAAAAAATGAACCTACCATCTTCCATAACAATATTTTTGTATCTCCTCTTTATTTGCCCGAAGTCCTCGGGTCACTAGGTTCTATCGTGGTGGTCAAGGTAATTAGTAAGTGTTTAACATTTAGTAATTTAGTCATTCTAAAATATTAAGTGATTATTACATAAAATACTACGAAGTGTAGAAAGTTATTGCGGAGGCATCCAGGGCTTTGTAGATTTCTCCTCAAGTCCTGGGGATCAAACTATGATTTGTGAAAAAAATGAGATTCTATTTTGGAATATCGGTGGATGAATTTAGTATTAATTTCCATTATACTGTGATTTAAGTATATTCTAATTAATCCTCGGTGCCAACAGCCACAGCAAATTGTGCTGCAAAGGAATTGAGTAAAGCAGCTGCTGCAGATGTATCTCCTTTGAATTTCTTCAGGACTGGTGTTTTAACTCAAAAACAATTGAGAAAGCACCACTCTTTTTGGCGCAACAAACCATTAACTAGCTTTTGTTTAGCCTTAATTTTTTAATGTATTGTTATCTTTCCATTATAAAACTTGTAAAACTATGAAGCAACTTCTTGAGAAATTTTGTTTGATAGATCCTCTTTTAATTCGATGATGTAGAGAGACTATATTTATACCATCAGGCTGCGTTTGGAATTTGAAGAAATTTGAAACTCATTGTTCTAATTTTACTTATGGCTCATAGTTGTGTTACAGATGAATTGAGAAGTAAATTTTACATTAAATTATGATTGTTCTAAACAACTCTTTAGATCATGGAGCTATTTCTATTGTCTTCTTTTGTATCTTTATACCTATTTTCTTGTATAGTTAAATTTCATATTATATATATATATATATATGCTCACATACATACATAAATTTCTAGAGAAAAGAAAATTGAAATGCTTTCTCATATTGCAGAGGAAAAAAATCCATTTACAGTTATTAAATCTAATTACATTTCAAGGCCTCAATCTGCATTATAACAAAATCACTCAAGAAAATTCACTGTTTTGATCTTCTTAGATTTCTCCTTTTTTGGTGATTTAGTTTTAACTTCTTTAAAAAGAAAGAAAGAAAGTCTTCTTTTTTTTTTTTTTCCTAAAGAAAAGACGAGAAAATATTTAAAATAAAATCACAAAAAGCAATTTACTTTATGTTTTTGTTTTGT